AAAGAATATAGATAACATTACTTCTTGAGCTTCAATTACGATAGAATTTGAGTATGGCTTCCCATGTATAACGTTCATGACAAACATGGCTCTAAATCCATCATCATTTAGCTTCAAAGGACCGGTATATTCATGTGCCATAGACACTGTAGGACTATACCAAAGATACGCTAACCATAATAATGATAAATTTAACTAATTTTATTTGAAAGCGAAAAAAAAATAAATCTCACATACTTCCAGCCAAGTTCGGTTTTGCTTTCGACAACAAAGGTCCAAATTTCAAAATTCCACAAACACCTGAAAGCAAAAATAAAAACAGTATACCAAAGTCAACAATATATCGACCGGAATAAAATCATCATCAATTTAGTAAGAAGGAAATTAATATTGAAAGTATTACCACATTCGGAGTTATTGCATAATTTTCTCCAATCATCTAGGTTCCAGATATCACAAGTGTGCTTTGTACCATGAAATAATCGTAGTAAATTTGGGTTCTCCCAAGTCCACATCATAACTGAATCAAATCTATTCGTGAAAGAACAATCCATTTCGATTTTTAAAATTGAGTGAATAGTATAAAATGTAGACGAAATATTGAAATCGGAAATGATATTTTGATATTCCTCGTCTTTTATCGGAAGAGGCGTTATTGTTCTCATATTTATAAGAGTTTTTTTTTTTTTTTTTTTTTTTTTTTTTTTTTTGTAAATTTATTAACGTCATGAAATCATAAAATTTTTATCGATATATTTATTAATTAAATTATATAGTACATAAAAAAAAAATATTATCAATATCACGTGTAATGAGGTAAGATATCATGAGACATGCTATAGGTTATGGCGCGATAGGCATCATTTATAGTTATAATTAACTCAATCACCGAACGTAAAGCTAATTAATAGTATAAAGATGTGAAAATTTTGAAAAATGAACGTATGTAATAGAAATCGTAAATTTACCTATTTAAATTACTTTTGATTCTAATAAGAATGCACCCATTGCTATTTGGTAATTCCGACTTATCAGAATTTGCCAAATTTATTGGATGACATTAACAAGAGTTATATTTTCGTTAAACAAACACATATAGTTGGCTAGCTGATATATTTTCATCTATATGCGTACTATCAAGGTAATGCGAACCTAACATTAATTAAAAAAATTATTGGTTAATGAATGAAATAAACGTCATTTTTAATTAATCCAAACGTCATGATTATTTCGTTGTCAGATTTGGATTGTTCACATTGTTAACATCAATAAAGAAACCATGAAGAAAATAATCGGTTCTTTAATCAGAGCTTGACTCTATGTTCGTATCATCATTTTTCAAATTAAGATATTTATCTTTTTTCTTAAAAAAAAAAAAAAATATATTCATGATGTTTAATCAAAACGAAATCCTTACCATAAAATTAGAATCAAATACAACTTGTTCCAATAAATACTTATTGCCGACATCCATTAAAGAAGAGATCTTTGGATCAATTATTCAAACATCTTGTCGAAAAATATAACAACCGTATAAAATTATTTTAATGAAATGGATGGAAAAAAAAATTTTTTTTTTTCACTGATCAAAGTATTTATTTAAGATATTCACGTGATCATAATAATGATCGTGACTGACGGTCTTAGATTGATAATTTGATCTGATAAAAATTTATTAACAGTCGGTATGCATGTCCAATTTACATGTCGATCATAATTAAAAATTCTTGTGTCACATTCGTCTAGATATTTCATTAAAGTTCTTTCATTCTAAATCACAATATAATCGGTTTTTATTCTTAATATAATTTTT